AGCACGAGGGCTGGGATACTGCCAGGTTGCCCAAGCCTAGACAGGGGAAGTCGAGTGGCGGAGGTCGGATTCGAACCACGGACCTTCCGCTCAGTAAATTCGCGCTCTAACCACTTGAGCCGTCTCGCCCCTATCGCCACTGTATATGAGGGCCGATCAGAAGCAACATCCGAGCACTGCGTCCACCATTTTGTCTCGATTGCGTCATGCCACGGACCACACCAGAATCCAATATTGCAACTCTAGTCCTAACCGTTGAAATTCAGTGGTCCTGTAGTGCGACAGTGTCATTTTGAACAGGATAGCGACCAAAAGGACATCTTGGGTGGTTCAGAATGTGGTGAGCAGTCTTGAAACCCTCGGTTAGAATTCATTTTCACCATGAGTCTTTGTTCGGCGTAACTTGATTACATCTTGTATGCTAGTAGTTTCGTAGTTCAAGAAGTACGATGTTGGCGATGCGCCAACTGGGATGGTAGGTGTTTGCTTATAACAGCAATTTAGTAAATCACTGGGATGTTCCATTGGTTCATTTGATTTGTCCTCTGGATCCTTTGGTAGTTCAATGTGGGTGATGGAAACGAGTTTTGACTAGAACTCCGACGAGTAGATCGAGAAGCCACAGAATTTCTGGACTGCTGTCATTCCAGACGGTTATTTTCCGGAAAAATATGACGTAAACACGATTGCCGAAGGCCATTTCTGACCTGCACTCTATATGGTATCGCTCCGCCGACTGTGGAATTCAGTTGCTTTGAGAACGCTGTTTGGGATGTTTAGATCTACCAGGAAACCACTCTTTACGATGTGATTTACTGGCATCGCGACGACATATCAGACTGATGTTTTGTACGACTACTGCAACTTATGAAAACAATCGTTCAGATGCAACATCCCTTCGGTGCCTAGCTACCATGCCACCCGGAGGAAGCACTAGGCCTGGGATGCTGCCAGGTTGCCCAAGCCCAGACAGAAGAAGTCGGGTCTTCTGGTCAGTAAATTCGCGTTCTAACCATTGAGCCACCTCGCTGTTTTGTAACAGTTTAGTGATTCGTCGACAAATGGTGCGGGACCATTAGTAGGTGGAGGCCTGCTTTCGAACGTTTGGTTGTTTATCTCACACCCAGTATTACTAAGCTCTTGACCTCAAGAACACGCTTCCGCCAGTCTTTCGCAGCCGGTGTTTTCGTCTGGAATGTGTAAATCTTGTCATAACCAACTTAGTAACATCCGGCCATACCCAAACCCATGTTCCGTACTTCTACGTGAAGAGCCATTACTACGCTAGATAAACAATATGACCTCCCAAGTCGCAGCTCATCGTTGCAAGATGTACACCTATGAAGTCACCAGCTGAACAAAACTGGAGACGCTTGGCATTGCGGTCGGTGACCAACTGGCCAATCTCATTCTACTCATGAACCTCAACAAAGAGGAAGGGCATCTTTTGGCTGAACCTTTTACGATCCAGTCAGATCCTTCTCGCGTAACGCCTTTGTTACAGGCAACTGAAGTCTAACTCTTGATTCACATGATTCTTTGGTCCGATTCATGATCTCCTGGCTGCTTCCTCCTATATTCTGAACTTCTTGTTACTATTGGCCCCGTCAATCCTTTCTTTGAATTAAGCATTGATAATGTGTAGCTTAAGTATCATATCCATCCTCAAGAAGCAACTCCTAGAATATTCAATTCACTCTGAAGAAAACGAACTGTAGCATACCCCGAATAAGCAACAAGCAACAAGAACTTATCAGAAATGAGTTATAAAGAGCTGTTGCCCCCTCACCTTCCCCAATTTAAAATGTCACTTGATTATTACCCAAGATGCTCTTATCTACGTGGGAAGTTGCGAACTCTAATCGAAAATTCAGAGGAGAGCGAAGCAAAAATTTCTCATTGATGTGCTACTGTCAACTGACCTGAATAACTAGGCAGATTACCGACTGCAGATTCAGCCGTTAAAGCATGCACTACAAATGTACTCTCAGTTCGATGAGTGGAAATCACTGGGGGCTTGCTTAAGCTGCAGTATAGTGGTTGACTGACCTGGGCAAATTGAATGGAACTGAACGCGGTTTAATCGTATGTCTTCTATAATTATACGGGGGCGGGATGGCTCAAGTGGTTAGAGTGCAAATTTACTGACTGGAAGGTCCGTGGTTCGNGGCCGATCAGAAGCAACATCCGAGCACTGCGTCCACCATTTTGTCTCGATTGCGTCATGCCACGGACCACACCAGAATCCAATATTGCAACTCTAGTCCTAACCGTTGAAATTCAGTGGTCCTGTAGTGCGACAGTGTCATTTTGAACAGGATAGCGACCAAAAGGACATCTTGGGTGGTTCAGAATGTGGTGAGCAGTCTTGAAACCCTCGGTTAGAATTCATTTTCACCATGAGTCTTTGTTCGGCGTAACTTGATTACATCTTGTATGCTAGTAGTTTCGTAGTTCAAGAAGTACGATGTTGGCGATGCGCCAACTGGGATGGTAGGTGTTTGCTTATAACAGCAATTTAGTAAATCACTGGGATGTTCCATTGGTTCATTTGATTTGTCCTCTGGATCCTTTGGTAGTTCAATGTGGGTGATGGAAACGAGTTTTGACTAGAACTCCGACGAGTAGATCGAGAAGCCACAGAATTTCTGGACTGCTGTCATTCCAGACGGTTATTTTCCGGAAAAATATGACGTAAACACGATTGCCGAAGGCCATTTCTGACCTGCACTCTATATGGTATCGCTCCGCCGACTGTGGAATTCAGTTGCTTTGAGAACGCTGTTTGGGATGTTTAGATCTACCAGGAAACCACTCTTTACGATGTGATTTACTGGCATCGCGACGACATATCAGACTGATGTTTTGTACGACTACTGCAACTTATGAAAACAATCGTTCAGATGCAACATCCCTTCGGTGCCTAGCTACCATGCCACCCGGAGGAAGCACTAGGCCTGGGATGCTGCCAGGTTGCCCAAGCCCAGACAGAAGAAGTCGGGTCTTCTGGTCAGTAAATTCGCGTTCTAACCATTGAGCCACCTCGCTGTGTTGAGCAGTTTAGTGATTCGTCGACAAATGGTGCGGGACCATTAGTAGGTGGAGGCCTGCTTTCGAACGTTTGGTTGTTTATCTCACACCCAGTATTACTAAGCTCTTGACCTCAAGAACACGCTTCCGCCAGTCTTTCGCAGCCGGTGTTTTCGTCTGGAATGTGTAAATCTTGTCATAACCAACTTAGTAACATCCGGCCATACCCAAACCCATGTTCCGTACTTCTACGTGAAGAGCCATTACTACGCTAGATAAACAATATGACCTCCCAAGTCGCAGCTCATCGTTGCAAGATGTACACCTATGAAGTCACCAGCTGAACAAAACTGGAGACGCTTGGCATTGCGGTCGGTGACCAACTGGCCAATCTCATTCTACTCATGAACCTCAACAAAGAGGAAGGGCATCTTTTGGCTGAACCTTTTACGATCCAGTCAGATCCTTCTCGCGTAACGCCTTTGTTACAGGCAACTGAAGTCTAACTCTTGATTCACATGATTCTTTGGTCCGATTCATGATCTCCTGGCTGCTTCCTCCTATATTCTGAACTTCTTGTTACTATTGGCCCCGTCAATCCTTTCTTTGAATTAAGCATTGATAATGTGTAGCTTAAGTATCATATCCATCCTCAAGAAGCAACTCCTAGAATATTCAAGTCATTCTGAAGGGAACGAACTGTAGCATACTCCAAACAAGGAACAAACTTCAAAGAACTGATCAGAATGTGTCATAAAGAGCTGTTGCCCCCTCACCTTCCCCAATTTAAAATGTCACTTGATTATTACCCAAGATGCTATTGTCTACGTGGGAAGTTGCGAACTGTGATAAACAAATCCAGAGGATCAGAAGAGCGAAGCGAAAATTTGTCACTGATGTGCTACTGTCAACTGACCTGAATAACTAGGCAGATAACCGAATGCAGATTCAGCCGTTGAAGCATGCACGACAAATGTACTCTTAGTTCGATGAGTGGAAATCACTGGGGGCTTGCTTAAGCTGCAGTATAGTGGTTGATTGAATTGGGCAAATCGAGTGGAACTGAACACGGTTTAATCGTATGGCTTCTATAATTATACGGGGGCGGGATGGCTCAAGTGGTTAGAGTGCGAATTTACTGACAGAAAACTCGGTGGTTCGAACCCAACCTCTGCCTCTCGATTTCCCCCGTCTAGGTTCCGGCAAGTACCCCAGCCCTCGTGCAACCTTCGGGTGGCATGGCAGTTAAGCACCGAAAGGGTGTTGCAGCTGAACGATTTCTTCTTTAAGTGTACGTTCAGGGGTGCTGAGCGAACTGGACGTGGCTTATTTTACCTTATTTCACTGACCGATGTTTTCATGCAGGTGTTATGAGGGGGCAGTTGTCTTAACGCTGATTGGTTGGATATGTGTTTTACCTGACATGCACCGGAGTGGTACTTGTTATTTATTCAAAATCACGAGTATCGGTTGCTCCTTCACACGTTAATCCATGTGGAAGGTGGAAGTAATCTTGATTCACATGTATTCTTCGTTTCTGGTACCTTTTTCTGCGTACCAGACGGAACATGTATTTCCACCTTCTCTTGCAGGCTTGTCTTGTTGGTCGAAAATTCAGCCCCTCCAGTTCAGACTACACTTCCCGCATGAGCTCAGTTGAGGCAGCTGTGTACAAAGAGAAACTTTCAGTTTCGGCGGCCACTTGCTTTGTGCCTCGTAGTTATCATGAACCAGTTTTGAACTGCACCCACGTTCCCCGAGACGTCACTCAGCTCGTATCCCATAGGATATTTACCGAACTATTGAGGCAGCCACCCAACTTGGACTGGCTTCATTCTTACCGACTCGTCGTATCCGAATCGGGACAGATTCAAACGTCGGACGGTCGGTGGTGGAACCCAGGTGGTAAGTTTTTGCCATTGCCTCTGTGTGGTACGCATTGTTCCGGCTGTTAGCTGTACACAAGAGTAGCGATTTAAATGTCCTGTAATGCATGTTTTCGCTTCAACGGACCAGCAAATTCGTTATCTTCCCGTGTAGTGTACATCATAACTGACGCACGCCCTTGGAACCCGTGGTGCCATCTTAACTCTCATTCACAAATGGGATAATGTGCCTTTAGTCACCGTCTTTTTACGGTCTGCAAATCTTGACTGAATCAATCACAGTTGTAAAATTCCTCAGCGACCTTATCTTTACTTCCAACTACTATTGAACACACACCACACGCTAAAAATAATGAGAATCCCCTGCGATGGATGAGGTCACGAGGTATCTGTCAAATCAGGGTGACTGTTCCCCAAGACGACCTCGGATTGGTTCTACTTGAAAAGCTTCTGCACAAAAGATGCGTTTTTCATAGCCTAAGAAGCATGACTAGACAGAGTCTGTGGCGCAGATCTTATAAACCTCATTTCAATCTTGTTCCGTCCTAGCAGGATAATAAAGCCGAAAAGCAAGGTCAGGGTCTTCTCTCGACTTGGACCGCTCCAGTATTTAACCAACTTTTGTAAGATGCTCCGCACCAATTTATATATCGCTTCCCAGGTCCCTTGAAACGTTCTCTTACACTATCGTTGACAGTCATTCTGTTATGGTAGGTGCTAGGCGGAACTGCACACGGATCCCTCTTTATCTCTCGCAGTCAGATGCTGCTACGGCCGAGAAGACCATCCCAACCAAGACTGGCCAAAGACTCGGGACGCTTGCCGGTCCGGCATCAG